GGGAGAACTGTTCCACACCATGGTTTTTGTTACTGCTCAGATGCTGTCCCACAAGCACTGCAAAACTGGAGTTTAGCTCTATAGAATGGGTTTAAAGGAAAAAACCCCAAAAGCAAAGAGCAAGCAAGAGGCTTGAAGCACAAGTCCCTCCCTGCAGCCTGATTCCCAGCGCAGGCAGGTGGAGCTGAGGGCTCAGCCAGCACGCAGTACTGTGCTGCCTGGGGATGCAGCAGCCTGCACGGTGACTGCTCAGTGTGCAGAGAGGGATGCTGGCACATTGCCTCTGAGAGAGCTTTAATACAACCAAAAGAACAGAATTCATTTACCCAGAAAAGATAGAAAAGACCTTTTGCAATAATATCAATAAAATCTCATTCGATCCCTACCCCCAAATGCTCACTGTGAATTTCAGACTGATTTATCCTCAGCTGGCTGAGACAGGCAATTAAAATAGAACATTAAAAGAGACTTAGGTGCATTCGGCACCGTGTGTGGATATGTGGCAATAAATCTGTTCCCTGGCAGTGTGTGGGAGAATTCCTCCCTGCTGTGGATTCATACCCAGTATCAGGCAAGGCCTCACTTGCTTATTGCCAAATAAGCAGTGGGACTTGTGCACAGGATGGCAGCATCCCAAGCTCCACATGCAGGAGGAAAACAGAGCCAGGACTGACTCTTCCCACAGGTAAGCTACATTTCCACAAGGAAATGTCATGCCAGCTATTAATTAATGCAGGCTGTTCCCCCCCTTCAGCCTGTTATCATCTGTGTTATGGGGGAAGGAAAAAGCAACAAATTGTGCAGAGCCTTGGCCCTCCCCCCAGCAAAACCAATCAATGTCACCAAGCAGATCAATTGAAAGAGAAAAGCTCCAGTACCTTTATCACACTCAGAAGTTTCTCCAGCTTTCAGTGTGCATAAGGCTGTGTTATGAGTGATCATCTATGTAATACAGCAGTAACAGCTGGAAGTTCTGGATAGCCCCTGCAGCAACACAAGAGGGCACAGCAATGCTGCCCTATCCATGCAGGGCCACATTCTGGCTCCTGGCAGAGGCACATGTGTGGGGAGCAGGGAAAAAATGGAAAATTCCTGGGAGGAGCCTCCAAAGCTTAGGAGGCAGCATATGATCCAACTCCCCCGACATCAGCAGGGCAGCTCCTTCTCTGCCAAGCTCTGTGCTGCAACAATCTTTGGTCCATTTTCTACCAGCTGTGGCTGGAGGTGTAAGTGCTGGAAGCACAGCTTTCAAGTAGCTGAAAGCTAGAAAGCAAATATGTGCTCCAAAGGGATTATTTTTAATTTCCTTGAGCACCGTGTATTTGGGGCTGGACTCCCAGCGAATTCAAGTACTGAGGTTGTCAACAAGCTCAGTGCTGCTAAAATCACCCAGAGGAAGGACTCCTATCTTGAAGGGACCTTGGCTCCAGCACAAAGCTATTTCTGCCTTAGCATGATCAATTGTGGGCTTTTTGTGCAGAGAGTCAGATCAGCCAAAGGGCTCCTTGTGCAGAGAGGCTCCAGTGCTGACACAGAGAGCATCACCCAGTGAGCCATCAGGTGCAGGTGACTCACAGGAGCACAGGGACATTGAAACCAAATCACAGAACCACAGGGTGTTCTGGGCTAGGAGGGACCCCCCAAAGACCAAAGCCCAGCTCCTGGCTCCCCACAGTCCAGATGCTCCTTGATCTCTGGCAGCCTTGGTGCAGTGCCCACTTCCCTGGGGAGTCAAATAGCAAACCATGAGCCCAGGCTGGGTGGGACAGAAGCTACCACAGAGGGGACACCAGCTCCATTTCCCTCACACTGCCTGCACAGAAGGACACCAGGAGCCCCCAGCTCCTCTGCTCAGCCAAGCCAAGAGCCCAGCTCCCAGCAGAGCCAGCCCCAGCATCCCTTGAGACCATAAACAGCAAAAACAATGCCAGAGGCAAAGGACTATTTTCATCTCCCTGTTATCTGGATCATCCTGGCCATGAGGAACATGACATTGTTTCAGCTGCAGCAGCCACACTAAAATAACACGATAATAAACAATTACAATAGATTATTATTTCTCTAATCATCCTTTAACTCCATCCCTTCACCTTGCCAAGGTGCTGGCAGATCAGGGGTAAGACCAAGTCTCTGGACATCTTTCAAAGGCATTTCTGACAAGTCAGAGACCGAAATGCCACAGGGCTGCTCTGAGAACCACAGGAAGAAAGGAAGCACTGCTGTGGGCACTGACAGATCTGCAGAGGCAGCTGAGCCTGCTGAGGGCTGTAACGGCTCTAACAGAGGTCCCGGGGGGGCTTCACCCTCACCTGGGGGTGCTCAGCTGTGCTCTGGGCTGCCTCTGAGGGACTCCTCTGAATAAAGGGTCTCTTTTTTTGGCAAGAGTACGAGTCTGACTGGTGGGTGGGTTGCTCAGACACTCTTCAAATAATGAGGATTTCTGCTGCACAAGGGAGAATCTCTAGGGAACTATTTATAAGTGATCCAACAGGAATGCACATCATCCCTCAGCCCAAAGCTGCCTGCAGACCTGTGTTAAAACCCACAGGAAATTTTGGATGGGGTCTCCACATTCTCCAGTCCTTCCCTCCCACCTTCCTACACTGCAAGAGCACACCTGGATCAGGTAACATGAAAGCAGCTCCTCAGCATGGCAGCACAGCCAGGCCTGACCCACAGCAGCCCCTGGCACACCAGGAGCAGGCTTCACAGCCCTGCAGGTGCTCAGGGGCTGTCACACTCCAGTGCTGGGTACTTGCATCCAAAGTGGGCATTCAGCAGTAAACTGACATTCATTATTCAGCTTCATATTATGCACATACCTCATGAGAGAGCAAGGCTCACTAATTACTCAAGAGAAGGCCATAATTGCACATATTTTAGAAATATGCAGGCAGGTCAAACAACACGCCTTAAAGCAGCTTAAAAACACCAAGGGCAAGAATTAGGCTGAGAGAAGTTGACTTTTCTTCAGACCAGCACTGGTTTCTCAAAATATTTGTATGAACATTTGTAAGTTAAGGAAGAAAAAACAACACTCAGTATTCAGAAGCTGGGGAGTTCTTGACAGATTTGTTTCCCTCACTCATAATTTTCAGCAAGTTTATCAACTTAAAAAGATATAGATTACCTGCAGAACACTAGGAAGGGAAATTGAAATAACTCTCAGGAAGTTAGCAGGGCAGTTTTTACTCCCATTTCAGAGATACATGAAGACATTGACCCATAAATCATCACAGAGAGTATTCCTATTAGGCCAAGGTGCGTTAGACTCCTTTTTGCCTCAAACAAGGCTGAGGAACACGGCCAGGAGCAATTTTGAACCTGCTGCAATGTATATGGAATCTGAGGAGCAGAAAGGGTTAACACCTTAAGCTACATGTTTGTCTGGCCTATCATAAAGCTCAGTCCGGTTGCATAGAAGAGATCTGGCCTCCTTTGAGTCACCTGAATTATTCCAGATGCACATCCCGTGACAAAGCTGGCACCACAGCCCAGAGGAGCACTTGCCTCTTCCCCTGCAGTGGGTTCCCTGTGTGATGTAGTCCCTTTCTGGGCAGAGATTAAACAGACACCTCAGGCTTTCCCCAGAGCCCTTAGTGACAGAAATGAGTCTCCAAAAACATCAGCAAGCTCCTGCCTTCCCTTTACCTACAAACAGAAACCTCCTCTCTGGGCAGGTGCCCCTTGGCTTTGCAGGTTCTCTTTGGAGAGGTAAATTGCAGAGGCAGCACCAAGTCCCACTGGACAGATGTACAGCAAGCAATATGGGAAGGCGGAAATATTTACATCCTTAACAGGGAGGAAGAAGCAACAGGAAGAGAGGCAGAGACACATTCAACCCCAGTTTCAACAGGGAAAGAGCAGCATGTTCTTTGAAAAACCAAGGACTGTGCCAGACAGTGCTCATAGAGGGGCTGATGCTCTTGTAGCTCAGCCCAAAACACCAAGCTTCAAGACGGAAGTGGCTTTTTCCAGAATAGGACAGCTGTTCAATAACCAGGCTAGGAGAAAAACCCAGATCTCCGCCCTTCTTCTAGAGCTTGGTCTCTTCCTCCACTCTGCACAGCAAATAACAGGAGAATTTGCCAAGGTGAGAGAACAGACTCTTGCTCAGCACAGTGAAAATTGGAGCAAAAGGTGTCACCCAAAATTCCAAAGTGAAACCCTACAACAGCAACCTTGTGAGGGACAGTAACACTCATGGGCTCTGTAAGGAGCAGCAAGCCTGCTAGTCTGACATGCTCCATGTTAATCAACTATGTTGTGTAAGAGCTGAGGGTGAGCAGTGCAGCCCTAGGACCTGTGAACACTGCAGCTCAAACCAAACCAAAGACAAAACGTTGTGCCTGTCCATAAAAGGCCTCAGCTGCTGAGCCTCCTAACTCTGGAGTCTGGGAGCAGACTGCAGCTCTCTCCTCAGAGAAGGATCCCACTCCACATGAAGTGTTTCACTGAAAGCAGCAGATAATGGCCCTGACAAAACCAGGCCCTGGGGGCAAAGGAGTCCCTGGGACTGCACCTACATTAATAAAAACCTGTATGCTTGACTGGACTGCACCTCTCTTGTTTTGTCTGACTCAGGATGATCTGAGATCCTGTTATGTGGCAGGCAGCTCACAGATAAAGACTTAGTGAGTGAGAAAGCCTTTCTTTTTTCTGAATCACTCCTATGGATGCCCAAGATTATTGCAAAGTATTGCATCAACACTGAATCACTCCCTCCTTGGCATATTTAAGTACAATTTTTCCCCTTCATGATTTTTTTTATTCCATTGAAGTAAAGAAACATATAAAAGGGAGAGCAAAAAGCTCAATGTGCTTACTTTCAGCATCCCAAGCCACCTAGTCTCAACCTGAATTTTACCTACACAACCAGGCAGTAGGACTGGTTGTTACCTCAGGAGTTTGAAAGCAAAGGGAAAGGAGCAGGTGAAGCAAGCCCAGGAGAATCTAAAAGGAAAATATCTTTAAAGCTCCCCTGAATTAGTGACACTCACCTGTTTGTTCCATTTTGTGCCTCTGGGTTTCTCTGAAATAGAGAAGAGCAATTATGAAGTGACCCACTTTCCTTCTGTTTAGAGTGAGAAGGAAACAGGGGGAAGGGAAAGAAGGAGGAGAGGGAGAGTTGCAGAAGGATAATATCAAAGGGTAGAGAAGGAAAAAACCCCATATCCTTACAGCAGGTAGGAGGGTAAATTGTGATGACCCAGTTTACAGGAAGAGCAGGAACTAGACCTACTAACAGTCAACACCTTCCCACGCACTCTAAGGAGAGGAAACAGCAAGGGAGGGGAAAAACTTGGTGCTTACATCTCCTGTTGCAGCTACAGACTCATTCCTCCGGGTTAAAGTTTGTGCCAGGGAAGTTTCCTACCAAAAGAGCAGCAGCCTCTGCCCAGCCCTTTTACCTGTGCAAGGGAGGGGTGGAGCCTCAGCCACTCCTGGTTGGGACTGAGCAAATCAGGGCCAGGTGCAAACAATTCAGGTAAAAGGAGCTCAGGTGGTTTGCATTATAGCTGAGGCTGCCTCAGGTGGGGCTGGGAGACACAGCAGGATGCCAGGGAGTGGAGTGGGCAGTGTTTCTCTTGTCCATGCTAGGGAGTGGGCAGTGTTTCTCCTTGTCCGTGCCAGGGGAGTGGGCAGTGTTTCTCCTTGTGAAGGAGCCCAGAGGTGGCAGGACGTGTGCCACAGCCGGAGGAGTCACCCTGCTGGCACGGTCTGGCAGGCAGCTCTAGCCCTCACTCTGCTGAGGGCCACATCTTCAGGAGAGCCTCAGTGCTGTGGCTTTCACCACCAGCTGGTGGCCCTGAACCAACACCTCTGCAGCGCCTCTCAGGGCTGTCTGTCCTATGGACAGAAATCAGTAGCTGGCGGGAAAGGGGGCCTTCTGGCTTGCTGTACATTTTTGTATTTTCCTTCAAGATTAGTGAGGTTTCTATTTCCCTTCTTAAATCCCATTTACCTCACTCAATGTAATCAGGCACAAGTGGAATGAAGTTAGTACTCGTGCACCACTTCACAGCATTCAAAAATGATTCAATAAAGAGTGCAACAAGCACATGCTTTGTGCAGTTGGCAATTATGACCATAAAGGAAGGACCAGCCATACCCTCATCTCCGGGTGGATTATTAAAACTCACAATTCAGCTTGTTGAACTCATCACAGCTCTGCTGGTTTCAAAGCCTGCACACAAAGAGAATTGCACTTCTCAGTTCCAAAAGTCCCAGTTTTAAATAGCCTGTGTTTCCTGTAAACAAGCAATAGCCCCCAAAAGCATAACCCCGTTAAAAGTGTGGATTAAACCAGGACTTTAATTTGCACTCACCTAAAGATTAGTTGTCAGCGTATATGGCTAAAATCATATGGGGAAGTGCAAGTAAATGACGTTGTGTGCTAATATACAGCGTCTGCTGCTATGTTTTTGTGCTCACAGAAAAGTTGGCCAAAGAAACAGGGGACTGCAGTACCACTCAGCAGTTCATATCTCTCAGTTAAGCCTGTGCCCTGCTTTGTGGGACCTCTGTCCTTTGTTAATTTAGCTTTCAGGCAGGTTTTTGAAATGGTTCCCAAATTCAGGTCACATGCACAGAAGGAGAATTAAAATCCAATTATAGTTTATTTTACTAAATCAGGATTGTTTTAAATTAAAAATTGGAGTTTAATCCTTATCTGCTGTCTGTGTCATAGGAACACAGAGAAAGCTGTTTCTATGTCTTCTTTCCTCTGTATAATATAGATTAAATGGCTGTGGTCCTCCTTCCTCTGTGTCCAATACCTTTGTGACTTTCTTGGGCAGAGCTTTCCTCTCATGAAAGCTGAGCTGGGCTGAGCTTTGGCAAGGTTTCTGGAGGCCTCACACCAGTCCTACCTCCAGAGCAGATGACAACCCTCAGAGCTGTGACTATGTTTTGCCTAGAGGATAATAGATGCTGAAGTTGGGCATTGCAGGAATGACACAGTTATAGCACAGCTGAGAGAAGGGCCCAGCCAAGGCAGGGGGAGCTGGGGGGCAGCAGTGGAACCCAGACTCACCAAATATTTAAGTCCTGGTTGCTCTTTAAACAACTAGTCAGGAATCAGGAACTTTGGGGATCTGGCTCAGCACATCTAAAAGCGTGATCAGGAAATCGGTGGGGACTCATCTCCAAGGGTTTATGTTACAATTGTATTTTAAATCTCTCTATTTTTGAGCATAAGCCTCAGAGAAATCTTGGCTTGGCCCAAACTGGAGCACCTGATCACAGACAGCTCCTTAAAAAAGCCCCCAGCCTAACTGTGTATCTAGAGATCCTGAGCATGCAGGGGAAAATTAGGCCCAGCCATTCCCTCAAATTTAATCAGAAGCAGCCTGGGGCACAGAGATGCAAGTGCTGTTGATGGTCAAAATTCAGAGTTACATAAAGAGCAGTGAATGACAGAAGGCAATTAGGAGCTCTGCATAAAGGGCTCCATCCTCAGACTGTTCTTATTGCAGATATCAGACTGGGGTATGCCTCAGCACCTCAGCCTGGGAGCAGGCAGAAATTGGAGAGGCTGGAAACGTTCAATGCCAAAGCAGGTACATTTTCCCTCTCTTGTTTGCTCTATGCTTAGTTCAGTTTCTTTCCCAGCCACTTACTTGAGGCCAGGATGAGCAGCATTTGGATAAATATTTTCCTCTCTGCTGAGAAAGGAAAAAAAAGAAACGTCTGAGGAAGGTGGAGAGAATCAAAGCAGTCTCTGTGTTACAACTGCCTCTAAGAGAGCCCAGGAAATAACATGCAGGATCTGGTGGGCACTGTCAGCATTTTGGTGTTCCCCTCACTTGGCTGCCCCACAGCCCAGCTTTGCAGCATGCAGGGGTGTGAGTTGGAGGCTGGAGGTGGTGCCGTGAGCTGCCAGGAAGATCCCACTGCCCACAGCTCTCAAACCATGGACAAACAGGGGCTCTTCTTTCCCCCCTTAACCTGCTGCAGGCTCTGCCTGTCCTGCCCTTCTCCGGCTCCTGGCCGGTAATGTGGAGCACACATCCTGCTGCTGTCATGCGGGAGAGCATGCTCCTGCCTCACTATTCATGGGCTGTGCCCACAGGTACTGCTTGTTAAGCCTGCTGAATAGTTGCCTGAATAATTAAGAAGGAGCTGAATCATTCTTAGACCAAATTCCGGTTTTCTCTCTCCTCCTACTTCATTTATAGGCTTCTCTTCTCACATATCCCCTGTACACAGTGTGAAACGACTGCTCAAATAGTACCGGATAGAGTCAATGAACTCCCCATGTGCTTTTTCTTTTTGTTTTTTTTTCAAATTATCCTTAGAAGATGCTAAAGAATCAGTTGGAATTGCTTAGTGCACTTATTGCGACAGAAATCCCGGCGCTGCGGTGCAAAAGCCTGCCCCCCTCTGCATCTCCCAGGATAGAGGCAGCCACATTCCTGAACAGCACAGGCTCCATCCCTTCCTCCCTCGTTTCCAGAACGAAAGGTGGCTGCCTCTTCTAAGCTTATTGGGCAATGTTTGTGATCTATTTAATGATTCTGCCCTTTGTTTTTTTATTAAGCTCCGTGATTTCTGCTGCAGCAGAGCTGGAAAATGAATCTTAAATTGAACCCAGCTTTCTCACTGGAAAACTACCTCTTATCCTCCTCCCACTCCCTCTCTGCTTTCTCTTCCTTTTTCCATTCCTTAAATCTCTTTCCCCAAGTTATGCTGCATTTTCTTTTGCCTTCACTGCATTTTCGTCCCTGGCTTTTGATGCACAGAGCCAAATTCATCCCTGCTGGTATCCAATGGACCGAAATTCTTCTCCGAGGCATTATTGGGCTGAATCCAAACCCAGCCAGCATTTTGCAGTGCTGGTGGCTTAGCCAAAACAACAGTTTATAATCTCTCTTTTCCTTCCCTTATCTACCGTTAATATGAATTATTAATAAGTACTAGTACTGCTGTCTTGAAAATCATCCTTGTTTCTGGAGCACCTATCAGCCGAGCTGTCTGGCTGAGAATTCCTTTTTAACTTTCCGTGTGTGCCGGGAAGTTGGGCAGCCTGGATTCCAGAGCAGGGCTCGCTCTGGGACTCCTCTGGCCATCCGCAGTGCTCACCTAACGCGGGTGCTGTGCACGGTAACCCCTGCGGGAGCCGGCCTGCGGAGCTTTGTTTGCCCAAACCGCCGCTCCTGACGCTAAATGCGTTTCCCAGCCAGGCTGCTGCTCCGGAGCCCTCACCTGGAGGGGGTGTCTGCGCAGTGTTAATCTCAGGCTGTGTTTACAGCCCGGGAACATGACAGGTTCTCTCCTTCCCTGCGGTTTCCGTGTGCACAGCTCATTAGATACTCTAATGCAGCAGGAAGCCCCTCTCGACTGAGAATTCCTTCTCGTATATTTAGCAAACTTTTGACTGCTTCCTTTCAAAAGAGACTGAAGGACATATTTTCGTAGGAAGAGGGTGAGACTCACAAAGCACGATCTACAGTCACGTTTTTCTGTGGGGAACTACGGAGCAGAGGAGGAGGAATCACCCGCAATTCTCTCTCCTTCTCCCCCGCGCCTCCCTCCCCTCCCCTCCCGTCCCGTCCCTCCCCCACGCCCATACAACCATAACACGGGATGAGCGCGCTCCAAAATACAGCTGCAGAGCCTTCCCTCTCTTCCGGTCTTCTTCCCCTTGGCAAGGGGGAGGGGGGGGCAAGAAGGGAGGATGAGGATGGAACCACCCTCGTGTGGAACTGATGTTTTGACTCCGCCATCCGCAGGCTGTTCAGAAAAGCCTGCACGCACGGTGTCAGAGTTAACCCAGCCAGAGCTCGCTCACTGCTCGCGGGAGAGACTCAGAGAGGGAACAGGGAGGCATCATCTCCTGGTCTGGATGGTTCCATGAATGAAAGCCAAGGCTTGTGGGGTGAGAGGGAAAGGATGACTGAGGTTACGAAAGAGAGCATCGCACTTCGACTGCAATCCCCAATGTTCATTAAGATCCCCATTAAGAGATAAATTTTACAAACATACATAGTTTTGTATGAAATGAAAGGATTTCCTCCCCATTAGAAATCACGCTGGAGACAACTCCATGTGCTCCAAATTAGGTACGGTCGGAATGAATATTTTAATTAATTAATGATAAATAAGCCAGGCACTTTCCTTGAACTGAGTTACCGTTTCCTTCCTCAGCAGCAGTGGGATGTGTTCACTGTGCTGTGTGTGTTCATGTACTTGTCCAGGCTTTGGTTTTGATTTCTGTCTCTCATTTTTGAACCTGTCCCTCAGATGATCAGTTACAACACATGTCCTTAACCACGGATTTCCTCATGTTTGGCTGCTCCGACGTGGGAGAGGGGAGGGAGGAGGGGGAGAATAAACAGATTAACATACCCAGACCCCTGGCAGGATGTTCTGAGAAATAAAAAGAGGGGAGAGAAGGAAGAATTCACACAAAAATAGAAGCCCACGTAGATTGGCCATATATGGAGTACCGGGGACTTCAGAGGGATACCCTCTTCGGACCACCCCTTTGGCGGAGGAAATCGCTGCTGCGGGAGGGTCCCTGCCCCCTGGCCGGGCGGTCGGGCCGCAGCCGCCCCCAGCCCCCTGCCCCGACCCCGGCCGCGGGGAGGCGGCGGCGGGAGGCGGCGGGCCGGCTGCGGGAGCGGTGCGGCGGCGATGACTCAAACCCGCCCGGCCCGCTCTGCCCCCTCCCGCTCCCCCCGCCGGGGAGGGCTATTAAAAGCTGCTGACGTAGGAGCGGACGGCCATCTTTGATGAGGGCACGGCTCCCGATCCATTGAAGAAGGAGACCCGCGGAGGTCAGCAGCCTCCTGTCCTTGCCTCCCATCCAGCTGCGGCACCGAGCCACCGACCCCGCCGAGCCGCGCTCCGCCAGCCCAGGTAAAGGTGGCACACACCGCGGGCACCGGCTCAGCGGGGGAGGGGGCCGTATTGCCGGTAATGAAATGGAGAAATAGCACATATTTAAAGTGGGACCCGTTCGGCTTTTTGTCTCCAGCCTCTGGCTGCTGCGGGCACAGAAAAAGGCAGGGAGAAGGGGGTGATTTCGCCGCCAGCCTCATGGCCGGCTGGAGCCAGGGAGGCAGCCGGGCTGTGCCTCTCGGCCGTGCGGGCGGCAGGAGGCCGGCGGGGAAGGCAGTGTCGGAGGAGAAGGGGAAGCAGCGCCATTCCCGGCTCCGAGCGGGGAGAAGCGTGTGCGGCGCTCTGCGCTGCTGGGCCGGCCCGGGCTGTGCCGCCCCGGGCACTGCAGCGCCCGCAGCGCGCCGGGCTGAGGCGGAGCATCAGCACCGCGGACAGCGGGGCCCGAGCGGCGCCGGGAGGGGACGTGCGCCCGTGTCCGTGTGTCTGACCGTGTGTCTGACCGTGTGTCCGAGTGTGTGCTCAGCACGGCGGACAGCGCCGGGCCCGAGCGAGACGATGAAGGGACGTGTGTCTGTGTGTCCGTGTGTGTGCTCAGCACCGCGGACAGCGCAGGGCCCGCGCCGGGACTGGGGAGTTCGAGCTGTCTGTGTCTGTGTGTGCATGTTCAGCACCGCGGCAGCGGAGGCGGCCGTGCTGCAGAGCCCTGCGGCTCCGCGCCCCCCGCCCCGGGGCTGCCCCCCCGGACACGGGACTGGGAAGCGATTCCCGACTGGCGAGCGGCGGTGCTCCCTCATTCCAGGACAGGACCGCGGGCAAGCGCAGTTATGGCTCTGTAGCTCTGAGCGACAAGAGAGAGAAATAAAATTTTAAAAACAAAAAGCAAGCAAGCAACAACAACAGCAAAAAGCAAATAACATCAGTTGCTGCAATTAATCGGCGCTCGGCATTTGGGCCTCTCTCCCTGAGCGGTGTCTGTGCAGGGAAGCGGGGGTTACATAACGCCCAGCCCGCGGGTCCCCCCGCGCCAGGCGCTGTCCGCAGGGAGCACGGGCAGCCCCCCGGGGTTCCCGCAGCCGCGCTCCGAGCCCGCGGGCGCCGCTGCGCCGTGACACGGGGACACGGGCCCGCGCCGCCCCCCGCCGGCCCCGCGCTGCGGAGCGGTGCGGAGCCGCCGCCTTATGTAACGCGGGCTGCCCCGTCACGGCTGCTGGCCCCGGCTCCCCCGGCGCCGCCGGCGCTCCCTCCGCCCGTCCTCTCCGCTCCCCGGCACCCCAGCCGCCCGAACGCCTCGCTGCGGTCCCAAGTTGGTAACTTCGCTGGGTTTTTTTCCTGCGGGGCGAATAAACAAGGGGAGAAAGGGGGATTGGGCTGCGTGTCCAGACACTGCGCTGCGTAGCTGCGTCAAACCGGAGCCGCGGGATCTGCCAGATTTACGTGCCTGGCCTGAATAATTGCTGGTTTCGTTCCCAGCTGAAGAACGGGGGCCGGGGGGGAAATGGGGGGCTGGCCTGCGGCACTGCCCGGGGGTGGCAGAGCAGCCCCTGGACCCAGACCCGTTTGCTTCCAGCCCCGGCCGCAGCATCTGCAAGGACATGCCTGTCCCACACCCCCTCCTGGTCCTAGCTCTGGGCATGGAGCAGCTCCCCCACTGATCAGCACGAGGATGGTGTGGGGCAGCCTCCCTGCGGGCGGCAAGGGGAGGGATGGAGCCATCTGGGAGATGAGTGCTCCGGTGGGAATGGCTGGGGAAGGGGCTCTCTCCTGGGCCCCCAGCCACCTGCACATCCCTGCAAAGAAGCCAGTCCAGGAAGAAGCAGCAGTGGTTTTCCATTGCTGCAACATCGCGCAGAGCAGGTCAGCCAGGAGGTGACTGCTGAAGAGTTTGGCTCCTAGGATGGGTGCCAAAAGGATAACAGAAGTGACCAAACCAAAGATGCAGGCAGGCCTGATTGACAAAAGCAAAAGCTTGAGGCTGCCTCTGAAGTCAAGAGGAGTTGCAGAAACTCAGCACGTTACAGTACCAAATGTAGCTAGATAGCAACCCCCAAATAAATGCAGCTTAACTTTGTTTCCACAGCTAACTAGAAAATGAGAGTGGCATTTCCAAGAGCTCTCGGGACCAGGCTGTGTGTCCATTGAATTCATGGGGGCAGTGAAAGAAAGAACAGCAGAATCCAGGCAGTGTGAACCCTCAAAATACATCTAATGAGATGCAGCTCCACTTCCCAGATTTATTGCACTGGAGGTGGGAGATGCTTTTCAGGTCAAGGGAAAGCTTTTCATTTTTCTCCCTATGCTTTAGGTATGGCAACAAATGGCAAGATGAAAGTGTTGAGGCAAATAAAGCACGGTCTCTGCCTAGTGCTTGCACTGCTTTAACTGCACGAGGTAACGAAACAAAACACTTTTCCTGTCAGTGGGAACAACTTCAGCGATTTGTACGTCTGTGTGTCACAGGGCTACAGTTGCTGCGTTTGTAGCAGCCCTCAGGGAAAAATAGAAAGTGTATGGCATGGTGTAGGGCTCAGTTTGCTAATGATTTCTTCTCTCAGGAACGAAGAACAGAAACTGTTTTCCCTTTACCTTGGCTTGTTGTCACACAGTTACTCTTTCTTTTGCATTTTTTCCCCCTAAATCTCTGTCATAATGTTTTATAACATAAGGAGGGCACTTTCATCTGTACATATTTATATGCACACACGCACTCATTTCAGAGATTTCCAGGTTCTAGGCTGGGTAACACCACAACAGATGCAGGCCGACTTTGCAGCATTCACTGGGCAGAGTGCATTTTTCTGTCTATGGAGTTCCATGCCCTGCTACCAGTGCAGCCACCTTTGGGCTGGGCCATTGCCAGGCAATCTGTAACAACAGCCTTGCTCAAGCATTTCAGAGCTTTAGAGTCTAAGGCAGACAAGAATAATGTGTTGCTGGAGAGCTGCTGCAGGATGCATTTCTCAGGCAAATCGTGATTACCTCTAGGAAGCTGGGCTTTGGAGCAGGCATAGGGCTCGTCTATCTACTCCTGGGAATGCTGGATATAGTTTGTCAAGGCTGTAAGTTGTCGCAGAATAGTTTATTTTTTAGCTTTTTCTTTCTGAACCTCCAACGGTCTGTTTTTCATTAGTTACAATACACTCTGGCTTTCTTGCCTACTGACCTTGCAGATTCAGTTTCCTGCACTGTATTGCAACAAGCACTTTCTCCAAAACACACAAGTTATATTCCTAGTTCTTGTCTGTCACCGCTATGTTACTCCCTCCACAAATGCTCAGACACACACAAACACCCACCAGCAAAATCTGCCTCTTATCTGATCATGATTTTCAATATGCTGTCCCACATCCCACTACATTTTCTAGGACTTTCCACCAAGCACAAAGACAAGTCAACTGCACAGGTTCAAAATTGTTCATTCTTGCTTTGTAATAGCCCCAAGGCTGACACTGCAAGACCCAAAAGTGGATCTGAGTGGCCTTGAGGAAGTGTCTGAACCACTTGCCCTGCTATTTTAGGAGGAAATTTAGCTTTGCTCTTGCATCTTTCATCTTGTTCACTTGGTATTTGCTCATCACCTCGTACTCACCTACAATCCTCTTTTAATTCCTGCTAAAGATCACCAGGATGAAAGAAACACATCAGGAGCATTAGGACCTTGATGTGAAGGGTGATGAGTGTCACCTTCTGATTTTGATTATTCCAGCAGGTCTAATCCAAAGTCAGTTGGAATCAAGGAAAATACTTTCCTACATCATTCTGTGGGACTTATAGAAGAATATTTAGCAGTTTGGATTTTTCAAAGGGAAACAAATTCTGTGTACATATTCCCTCTGAAATATACTAGCTCTAGTGATTCTAAAGAGAATGTAATATTGTGTTATAACCTTTTCATTTTTTTTCTTCTTTTCTTTTTTTTTTAAATAATAAGAGACATGGTTTCTCTCACTGGAGAAAGTTGAATTCTACTATAGGCACAGGGAGGAGAAGAGGGAAACACTAAGTAATTAATCATGGCTGTTCCTGGCCTTTTAGAGCTGAATGTTAGTGCTGACCAATCTGTGCTCTGTCTAGCTATTTAGGAGATTTTTTAATTTTCCTTTAGAGCTAACAGTGCTCTGTTTCACCTTTTGAATGGGGTGTAACTTATTATTTGGCCCCACTGTCAATGGGTGTGAAGTGGCACAACTGAGTGCTGTGCTACTCTACAGGCCGATAATCTTTCAAGCTGGGACCCCTTGTTTGTGTTTTAAGTGAGAAACGGGTCTATTTGGAGCAGCTCTTGTAAAGAAAGAGCTCATTTGAGATGCTGCCCTCCCAAAGCCCATCCCTGTTTTTTCCCAGCCTGCTGTCAGTGTTGCAGACCCTGCCGGCCAGGCTGCCTCAGCAGGGCTGCCAGGGAGCAGGGATGAGCAGCAGAGCAGGAATCCTGCCTGTTACGCCTCTCTTTCAGGCTGGGTTCTGCTGCACTCTGCTGGTACATAACACCAGCAGAACTTGAATGTGGTGAAAAACCCAGGACACAGCTGAGTTTTTCCTAAAGGCACAGTTGTGTGCAGAAAAAGGTCAGAAATTCCTAGCTGTAGCCATTAATTGTTCTTTCAGGCTGGGGAGTAGGGTGAAATTTTCCTGCATTCCACTAAGTGCACAGGAAAATTAGGCTTCTTCCTCAAGTTTTTAAAAGGCAATATTCTTAATGGCTGAGACATTGTATTCATAGAGTTGCAATATGAAAGAACAGAGGCAAAGCCAAGTCTCCCTGTACAAGTGTCCAAAACTGAACAAGAGGAACTGTTCTTATATGTTTTCACTATAATTATAGTTTTCCTTGTGCTTTTGTTATGACCAAGTTTTTGTGCCAGCATTTACAGGTAGAATCCATGAGCAAAATGAGAGTTATCATAGACTATGGCAGTGCTCGTGACTAAAATTTGTATCCTAGACAATACAAAAGGATGCCTCATGTAGGTGATTTGTGAAATTAATGCAAGATTTGCTATTTCTTCTTCAAAACCTACAAA